AATATAATGGTAATTATAACCGCAAAGATTCTCCAGGAAATTTATTATAAACACGAATTCCTAATAAACACATTAAAATGATATATAAACCAACTTTTCTATGTCAGAGTTATACCCCTTCAATAGTGCTTGGAAGTTGAAATATTCTCTTGATTCCAAATCAAACTCAAAGTTGAATTGAAGTCGGAGTCTGTGACTTTTAAGGTGGGTCGCTTTGAATAGCGGAAATTCCACATGAGAGCTCAACCACCGCCTCTTTGGACATTTTGCCATGGATACCAACATTTGGAAATGGAAATCGATGGAAAATCGCACATATATACATAACATAGCATTATGCTATAAAAAGATGCAGGGGAGTCTTTTGATATTCCCGAAAGGGGATTTCAAATATGATTCTACATTTTTATTTGATTTCTTAATGAAAGAAAATCTAATTGTTATACTTTACTTAATTATTTGGCAAGTAATTGATATATTTATAATTATAACAATTTCTTCTGCTTAATTCAAACTGTCTTTTTTACATAATATATATATATAATATACTAGTAAGGAGGATCAGTACGTATTTTCAAGCTACTATGATCTGTAATTAACTATGAGCAGTAAATAACTCTGAACAGTAAGTATCTATGACCACTAAGTAACTATGATCAGTAAGTAACTATGATCAGTAATTAATTATGATCAGCAATTAACTATGAGCAGTAATTAACTAAGAGCAGTAAGTAACTATGAGCATTAAGTAACTGTGAACAGTAACTATCAATACACAAGAAGTAACTATAATCAGTAAGTATCTATGACAAGTAAGTATGTATGAATGATCAGTTACTAACTTTGAACACTAGTAAACAATGACTTGCAACTTTTGTAACACAACACATTTCTGATACTTGGCCGGCAGCAGTCACTTCGTTCCGGGGATGTTAGAACAAGTTGGGAATCATAAGTACAGATGTGCGAAATTTGTTTTGGAACAAAATTAAACTATTTGAATGAAACTATTGAGTTATTCTTCTATATATTTTTACTGTTTTATAAGTCGGAGCATGGCGAATCAGAGAACTATATATATACATATGTATATATAGCTGTCATAGGAACGATCGAAAAATTAAGAAAAACTCTACCAGTTGTTAACAGATTTTCATCAAATCAAATATAAAGCCATTATATAAAATCTAAAATTTTGTGTTACATTTTATAAAAATCTTACTACTATATCATGTATTAAGTATTGTAAAAGCAAGACAGGTATATTAACACGTTATTAATTCTGTGAGTTGTTTGGTATAAATTATTACTATATCCTTAGAAAATCTAGTACTTACACAAAATATAATACATTTAGGAGCAAATAGCCCCCCAAAAACACCACACAACCGACGCCCCTGTATAGATGCACGGGACCAAAAGACATCCGAGCTGCTCGGGTGCAATAACATTGACATTTAGAATGCAGACCGAGACCTGAACCATTCATAATCGCAAAAAAAAAATACCATAAAGAGCGGCGAGAAAAGCCCAAACGAATTCGAAACCAAATCCGAATCCGACTTAAAGCTAAAAAATAAAACAAAACCAAGTCGCGACACAGAAACTGCCAAACGTAAATCGAAATTGAAATCCAACGCACTGAAAGTCCACAAATCCACTAACCTTGTGCCCCTGTTGGGCCATAAAAACTGCGTATTGATTTCATAGCATAGAGAAAAAGCCATTAAAATTATTAGTATTATAATACATTATTAGGTCTAAATGTCATTCAAATATTTGTTATCTTAAGATCATAAGATAGATGAAAGATGAGATATTATTTGAATGTCTTAAAATTAATATGGAACTGAGTCTTAAGATTGTTTTTAGATACAAATTTCGGGTTTGGATAAGGAGTTTGTTTTCAGATTTAAATTTATATTTAAATTATTAAAATGAGATAAGTTCATAAAACCATTAATAATGTTAAACAAACCTGACCTAGCTATAAATAATATATACAAATGTCTAAATTTCTATATAAATGCAAAATATACTTACTCAGGACATTATTACTAAGTTAAATCTTTAAAGTGTTAAGCTATTTAAACTTTATTTATCATAAAAATCATAATAACTATCTTAAGTTGTATTATTTTTAAATTACAAACTACAAGACAGAAAAAAATATATACTTTTTGAACCAATTAAGTTGTAAAATCATTTATTATATAAAATTAGCTTTAGGGATACGCTTGGTAATTCAGGAATCTTCTTGTACTTATCCTTTATTAATATAATAAATATGTATATGATATACATATATAATATCTACTGTCAATATTTTCATATTTCAAATGGAACGTAATTACTAAAATTAGTTTTCAATATTTTCTCCCAGTGTTGCCTCGCCGCAGGAATTGCAATTGGCCAACGGAGTCGTTCGGGCCAGGCCAATTATAGCGCACTTGTCCGCGGACTTCGAGTGCGGGCCAAAAAGCCATGGCTCAAAACAGCTGACTTGTTGGTGGGAGTGAATTGCCAGGATTTGTTATTTTTATTTATTTATTTTTTGTTATTTTTGTACCTGCCACATGTGGATGCCGCAAAGTGCATTGGGCAATGCTGTGTGTTGTTTTTTTTCCTTCTCTTTGTACTTAGTATTTATTTTATTTTGTTATTTTTCTGCGTCATGCCATTGTACACGCAGAGACCACTAAATGATCTAATAGCTCAAGGGGCTTTTGGGGATTGGATTCGCAAAAGAAGGTCAATAGTTGGTGTGAGTGTAATCAGAATACTAATTAATAGCTGACTTTTTAATTGGTTCCACTTCAAGGTTAGGGCTTTTCTTACCTTTAGGGAAGTGGATAGCTATAATTAGAGCTTAGATGTGGGAATAACATATCTGCAAAGTTTTGGTTAATTGAAGTATTTGTTATAAATAAAGAAAATGCAGTAGTCAGTAAACAATTTAAGTAGTTTTTTAACTAGGAAAATAATGTAAAACGGAAGAAGTTGATAGATTCTTGGAATAACAAAAGACTTTTATATTTTAAATCTGTTATTTTTATACCCTTGCAGGGTATTATAATTTCAGTCAGAAGTTTGCAACGCAGTGAAGGAGGCACCTCCGACTATATAAAGTATATATATTCTTGATCAGGATCAACAGCCGAGTCGATCTAGCCATGTCCGTCTGTCCGTCTGTCCGTCTGTCCGTCTGTCCGTCTGTCCGTCTGTCCTTCTGTCCGTCTGTCCGTCTGTCCGTCTGTCCGTCTGTCCGTCTGTCCGTTTCTACGCAAACTAGTCTCTCAGTTTTGAAGCTATCTGAATGAAACTTTGTAGTTAGCCTTCTATATACTCTCACTCGTATATATGTCGGAACGGGCCCGATCGGACGACTATATCATATAGCTGCCATAGGAATGATCGGAAACTTTTTACAAAAAAAATTTTAACATTTTCAGTTTTCAATAGAATTGGATTAAATTTGAGATATAGCCATTTTACTATACTCTACAATTTTGTATAAAATTTTATGAAAATCGGACTACTATATCATGTAGCTCCCATAGGAACGATCGAGAAATTAATACAATTAAATTTATAACCTTTTCAGTTTTCAACTGATTTTCATCAAATTTTAGGTATAGGCATTTAATTTAAGTCTTAAATTTTGTGGTAAATTTCATGAAAATCGGACGACTATATCATATAGGTGCCATACAAACGATCGTTTGATGTGGAGGAAAAATGCAAATCAGTGAATGTAAAACTGCAAATATAATATGTATAGGTGAATGAAATGAAAGCAGGTATTACTTCATTGTTTTTTAACACAAAGATATATAATTTGTATTGTATGGTTTTTTATTCATAGAAGTTCTATCTGCAAGGGTATATAAACTTCGGCGTGCCGAAGTTAGCTTCCTTTCTTGTTTGTTTTTCATATTCATTTTAATTTCTCGTTATGGAATTAATATTCTAGGACCTTTAAAATTACTAAAACAATTGAGTTTCTGTGAAATTATACCTTTAGTTGCTACCATTTTAGCTTTACAATATTTATAGCCCTAAAATAATCATAAATATTCAGCATTAGTTTAGTTTTTACATCTTTTTTACACTTAAACCAAGTGCATTAAGTATATATTTTAAGTAGTTTCAAAAAGGAAAATAATGTAAAAAGGGAGAAGTTGATAGATTCTTTGAATATCAAAAGATTTTATATTTTAAATCTGTTATTATTTGTTATTGATATTCATTTTAGTTTTAAATTACAAAAACAATTTTGTTTCTGTGAATTTATAACTTTAGTTGCTACCATTTTAGCTTTACAATATTTATAGCCCCTAAAATAATCATAAATATTCAGCATTAGTTTAGTTTTACATCTTTTTTTACACTTAAACCAAGTGCATTAACCTCTACCCATTATGGACTTGTTGTCTTGACTTTTGCCACTTTTGGCATCCCATGACTCATCTGCTGCTTCCACTTAACCCACTTCAAAGCCAGTTGTCACCCACATGTACATGCAATTTCCATAAGCCAATTGCAGAAACCTCAACCCATAGGAAAAGACCCAGCAGGAAAACTCCAGTAATGACATATATGTATATAGTATATATATATTTCTTTGTCACAACTTTAACGTTACAACGACGACATTCTTTAGAGCCTCTGGGCACGCTTCATTCCGCAAACACACAACCGGCGACTGACAGCATAAAAGTCAGACAAAACGATCTCATCATAACTTAAACGTCACGTTGCAAGAGCCATTAAAATATTGGCTGAAGAATAGATAAAAAACATGAGTAAGAAATATATTTAAAAAAATAAAAACCCCAACAGGCGACACAGTGAACCAATGACTCCAAATACAAAAAAAGAGACTCGTAAGAGAGTTTTAAAACCGGATTTAAGAGCGAAAAAACCTGAGGTGCCGGCGCTGGAGACTCGATCCATGGAGCTGAGCTTGAAAGCGAAATCAAATCGAAACCGAGAGCCAAGCCGAGCTGAGGTGAGGTGAGCTTGTGTCTTAGAAGAATCCAAAAAGAGAAGCTCTTCGGGGTTTTCGGCTTCTTCAGCAAAGACTCTGTCTTTCAGTCGGTTTTTTGGCAGCCGATCGCGCGGATGCGGCTTACTTCAAGACGGTTGCGCGTTCCTAAAAACATAAAACACTCAAAAATCCCAGCACATCAAGTGTTTAAGTGAGTTTTTTTAGTTTGCAATTATTGCAAAAAGCATAAAATTATCCCATTTCAAGTGTGAGTGAGTGAGTGATTGATGGATTGATTGATTTAGTGCCAGACTTTAAAACAGAAAGGAAGAAGCTATAAACAAAAAAAAAAAACCTCCCACACACACAACTGGCTCGACAAATGCTTGCCAAACGAAATTTTTATGCAAATTATAAAGCTGGTAATTATAGTGCAACAAGTCCAAATTGCAATGTACAAACCCAGCCAAAGTCAATTTAATTAATTTTGAAGTTTGCACTTTTAATGAAGAGGGAGAAAAAAAAACATATACACAAGCGAAATAGTTGCAATCAACTTTGATTAACATAACACGAATGTCGAGTACATTCTCACATCTCCATAAATATTCGCGGTTGCTCTGCAAAAAAACAACAAACAACATAATAATAATAATATTAAATAATATCTCGACCGCAAAAAGTGAATCCGAAAAGCGTGGAAAAGTGACAAAAGTGCGGTTCTCGTGTGAGTTACAATCATCATCCAATTTGTGTCTGTCTATGTTTCAGTGGTGTGAAATAGAGATCGGAAAATCTGGTAGCTGCTTTAATTACAAATTTATTCAAATGGTTAAAGACACGCAGATAGACACACAGGTGCAAACAAGAATTTACCAATGACTAAGCAAATGCTGAAAACATCATTCAAAAGGCCTGATTGATGGAATAATTGCAGCAATGACATGCAGATTTAGTTTAAAGTTTTAAGATTAAAATGCAACGAGAGAGTATAAATCTGATTCTTGGTTGATCTACGGGTTATAAATACTTGTCGTTTCGTCTTTTGAGGTGTCTTGAAGATCATCAACTCTGTGAGATCATTTCAAAGTTGAGTGAAGCCAAGAAATCTGAAGATTAATATAATAATCTTAACGAACGAAGAAGTTCTCTGACATCATCACTGTCTGATCATTGGAAGTTCTAAAGTGATTATAAAGTAGTTTTTACGGTTGAAGATATTTGATTATATATCTGAAGATATATATTTGTGGGAAATAAATTGTTCATTTTATAATTCAATTCACTTGGTAAAAATTATGCCAGAAGCAAGAAATGAGAATGAGTAGTTAATATATAAGTAATAAAATCAGTAGTCAAAATATATATCTTTGAGCTAAGTTGAGAGTTAGTGAAGGTCAAAGAATAATAATAAATATTAAGCAGAGCTAAAGCCTTAATTCTAAGGATTTATTTAATTTAACTTACAATAATTGAGCTTAACAAATCTATAATTCTCAGTTATGAAAAGTAATAAAGTAAAATAAGTAAAAATAAGCCAACTCATAATTATGATATTATATTTAGAAGTAAACGGTACTGATGATTTCCACACCAAATAATTACATCAGTTCCAAGGATTATTATGACCACATCAGAAACACAATACATTTTAGTAATTATACGCTATAAAATATTCTTTGAATCGAACCTTAACTCAATAAACATCAAGCTCACAATGCGATCAATCAGTTGGCAATAAATAAATCGGAAAAGAGAATTCGCAAAACCATGACTGATCATTTTTTTTGCAAGCAAAAGAATGCCTTTGCAAATGTAATTAATGTTTCTTATGCGATAATGAGCTCTATCCATAGATCAAAAAAGTCAATTGAATTGGCGAGAAACGAGCCTTTATCCACCCACGATCTGTTTGAAATGTCAGCCAAGTTGATCGATTGCTTAATCGAACAGAATCTGCTGGATAGCCATCTATTTAATCAGTCCAGTCCAGTCCACCTCGACCCGAACACGACTCATAACTCAGCCAAGCTCCTCTTGATCTTCAGTTCTGCCCCCTAATATGTTCTCGAACTATATAGCATTGTGAGTCAGAAAATCTTTATTGACCAAACTGTAGCAGGTTGGCATGATCATGTAAGGCCATAATCGCCGTGTCTAACTGCCATAATCCACCCGCTAACTGCAGCAGCTGGCCTCCGCGTTTTTTATTTAGACTTTGGAGCCCGATTTGGGTTCAGATTCAGCTTCAGCTTGAGCTTCAGGTTCAACTTCAGCTTCAGGTTGAGTTTGCTTGCAACTGGTCAGAGAGACGCCGGCTCACCTCGCACAGAATAACATCGCAAGGCACGTACCTCTAGAGTGCCGAACAAAAATAAAATCGAAAAGCATAAACAATTTATTTGTACAAAATAACTTTTGAGCAGCAGTTGCAGTTTGCAGTTTGCCCGTTCGTAGCCACAAAATGACTTAACTTATAAGCTGGCATTTGCCAGTGGATGCTGCAATGTTTCAATGCAATTTAACTGATCAGGAATGCGGGGCATGCACTACGAAAAATTCACATTTCTTGTTTAAAATAATTTATAATTTCATAATAAATAAAAAGCAGAATAGATGGGAGAATTTTAAATTATATATAATTAGTTTAAGGACACAATTCTCTTCTCGAAGGTTTAAGTTTCATAATTTATCATCTTTAGATACAGATATGCGTTAGGTAGCTTACTTCGGCAGTTTTAACGATTGTTTGTATGGCAGCTATATGATATAAAATTGTACACAAAATTCTAGATTAATATATAATGGCTATATATTAAATATAATAAAAATCTTTTAAAAACTGAAAAAGTTATAATTTTTTTTCCTAACATTTTCTGATTGTTCCTATGGAAGGTATATATACATATATAGTCCACCGATTTGCCATGCTCCGAATTATATACTAGTAAAATTATATAGAAGAAAAACTCCATAGTTTCATTCAAATAGCTTGCTCTTTGTCCCAAAAGAATTCTCGCACACTTGTTCATATGATTCTCAACTAGTTCTAACATCCCCGGAACGAAGTGACTGTTGCCGGCCAAGTATCAGAAATGTGGTGTGTTTCAAAAGTTGCAAGTCATTGTTTACTAGTGTTCAAAGTTAGTAACTGATCATACATACATACTTACTGGTCATAGAAACTTGCTAATCATAGTTAGTATCTGCTCATAGTTAATTACTAATCAGAGTTACTTACTGCTTATAGTTAATTATTGCAAGGGTATAAAAAGTATATTAAAAAGTCATCAATCATTAGTTTTGCTTCTTATGGAAATCATTAACAAATTAGGAAGCAACAAATTAATTTAAATAATGTTTAACTCATTGGGAAGCTACCAAACTAATTTAGTTAATATTTAACTCTTTAGGAAGCTACAAATGAATTAAGTTTTATTCAATTAAACTATTTAAATAAAAACAATAATCAATCAGTAGTCTAAATGCAGATGTTATTTAGGTCATAATATTATAAATATAAAACATAATGAAGTATTTAAAAGTTTTTATTATAAAAAGAACATGTTAAGTATTTATTACAGTGATTAGATAAGCCATCAGTTAGAAAAACAGAACATGTTTAGTTCAATTTACTAGCTTAATAATTGATGATGAAACCAAATTAAATTGATTAACATAACTATTATAATTACAATTATTATATATGATTATAAGAGTTAGTCTCCCTCTCGTTCTCGTGTTATAATGACCAACTCCAAACTCAAATGAAATCGAGTTGTGTAACCCATAAATATGTATGCTTAACCGATTGAAGATTGCACTACACATAGAGATAGACAGAGGGAGAGGTAGTTCCTTTCAAGTACAGTGCCGGTCATTGAGGCATGGCGTTGCTCAAAGGTGTTCTAATGGCTTTCCAAAAACCAGCTATTGAACAATGCCTGGAAGTACTCCAACTAGCAGATACTGACGCTTAGATATCAAAATTGCAGTTACAGTTACTAATTAGACAGGTTGCCAAAGATCTAGATAGGTGCGTGACGGCGATCGTGAAGCTGGAACCACCGGTAAATGCCCCTTAGATTACCTCATTCCCCACACAAAAACAAAAAAAATAAGACAACTGACATGCTCATCTGTCGTTACCTTACTCCAAAATTTACCGCAGACATTTAAGACTAACCTCAAGCCCGCAAAAGTCGTGATATTTGGTTACACCCTGGGATCCGACCCTAAAGCAAGGTTCTTCACAGCACTCTGTCAATTGCTGTTATGACCTTTCTGTCGATTGCTCACTTGGCCGGCATTTTCCGACGTTCAACTGACCTTAGCGAAATCTTTTAAAGCCGCCAGCAAAACTCTTAATAACCTGGCCAAAATAAAAAAAAGAAAGAAAAACATGAGCTACGGATTTTGCACACCTGAGGAGGAGTTGAAGAGGCAAGAGTTGAGTGCCGCCGGACTGCAGCTCATTAATCGAGCAACGAACGTCTAAGCAGACGTTGAGATGCACAGGGAAAAATATGAGGAAAATTAGTAGAATAATAGAAGAAATTATAATATAAACTCTTAATCTATTCAATGTGATAAATTTCTAGTCAGAAAATTGCTACGAAAATTCCCTTAACTCCGACAAGAACTCTTAGTAACTGATTTCCCAATCCCATTTTTTTTTCTACATTTTCTCTCTGTGCCTTTTGCTACCCATTAATAGGCCGCAAAATCTCCGCCTCCTTCGGCTTCCACGAAAAGAAGCCGCAACACTTGAGGTAGCATGAAAACTTCAGAAAACTTGGTTACTTGCAACTTGGCAAACGAAAACAAAAGTGAAAAGGTCACTAGCACCAGTTGGGCAGCAGTTTGGAGCAGTCAGTTGGAGCCATGAGGAGCAAATGCCCCAGCTGGAGTTGGTTGTTGTATCTCAGCCAAAGAAAAAATAACAAACAAAAAATACTTTGGCACTCGACACTCAGCCAACTGTGGCCGCCAAGCTCAAGCGACTTTAGCTCATCGCACAACTCGTAATGCCAATCCAGGTCCAGGTGAAAAAAGGGTATAAAGTTGTAGTTACACAAAATACATAACATCTTAAGCAAAGGGGATCATCGTGAACTCACGAAGCGAGGTTTCGAGAGATCTTAACTTCAGTTTGAGGAAAAATAATAGCAAGATCTTGTAATAACCCAATATAAAGTGTCTATAAATAATATTATTAAAATCAGCATCATTATATTAGCTTTTCTTTGACTTAAATAAACTACTTGATCAATTATTAAATATTGCCTCACAAGAGATCTATTTAATGGATATGAGTTGCCAATTTTGTGGCATTTTCTTGGCCTTAGTGTACCGGCCATTTATAATAACCTCTCCCAGGGCATCTATTCTTCGTTTTTTTGGCCAAATACAGCAGCAGCAGCAGCTGACTTTCAGCTATTATTGCCGTTGTTTCGCTTGTTTCGCTTTGCTCTTCGTTTTTCCGGCTAACAAGTTTTGCTTTTCTTGGTTTTTCGGTATATGTATATATGTATTTGCAACCTTATGCGATGTTGACTGCAGCAGAAGCCACTTTGCTGGCCATCTCTTGCCCAATGCAATTCGCATTTCAATTTTTCTAAACTATTGGCCAATACTTTTCGGGGGCTTCTGGTGAACGTATGGGATGAGATTATTTATCACCACTGATGGCTTGGGAAAATCCAAAGAAAATTGCAGCAGCTGCTTCTTAATTCGCTAAAGATGAACGCGGTTTTTGCGGTCTTCTCTCTTTTTTTTTGTTTATTTTGTAATTTATTTTTAGAGAGGACTTAATGAAGGCTTAATTGATGCAGCGGCAGATTGAAGATCACAGTTGTTGGGTGACAACTTTCCACTTAAAAATTGTGGAAATGCCAAGATGCATATTGACAGGCAAACGGCGCACTTTCATTTTCATTTGCAATTCGATTGCCTTTCGCAAATCTGAATTTTTAACGGAAATAGTGAGAGAGGAGCTCCATAGCCCTAATCTATTGAAGAGGAAATCTAGGAAATCGGTTAGACAACAGCAATTACCTGCGGTTATATAACGGTGGCAAATGCAAAAGGAAGGGAACACTGAGGGAAAAAACGATGAAAAATCCGAATTACTTTTACATTTTTAGACAATTTTTAATGGGTTTTGTTGAACCTATTTAGTCATTAAAAGTATAGGAAAAAAACCCCTGCTGCTATTTCTGTTTTCTAAAACAAGAAGTAACTATTAAAATAGATTCCGAAATTCCTGTATAAATTATTTAAAATTATCAAAATAAGTGTTGTTATTCTTCTTCTTAATTTTTTGCTCATTTTCTTGAATTGATTTTGTATATTCAATGTAAAATAAACACGACTGATATTTATCTTTTTTTTTATAAACATGTCTAAATAACAATACCGAAATTCTTCTATAAATAAATAAACGTAATAGGAAAAAGGTCTTGATACTGTAGAGAAACGTTTATAGTGGTCTTCAGTTAAATTCCACTCAATCTATTTCACAATAATGTTGTAATGTAATTTTATATAATTTCTGTAAAACCAAACAGCAGGCTTTAAATTTTCCATAGCTCTACAGATCTATTATCTATTATTTTCCCTCTCTGTAGCTTTTGGCAATTGACATTTTGGAGGAAAACTATAATGGATGAACAGAAGCAGCTGGAGGTAATTGCAAATGAAACCCCATCAGTCACCGGATTGAGGCGTCAGCCGACCAAATATCCCCATGGCCTGAACATCACAGTGCAGACAATCGGTGATGATGATGATAATAGTGGTAGTGGATCGGTTAGAGATCATGGAGATGACTACTCCCGCACCTCGGGCGAATCGTGCTGGAGTGAGACTCAGAAATATCGCATTGGAATGCTGGGAAGTCCCGAAACCCTGGCGGAACTTCAAGTTCGCCGATACAAGTATCCCCTGACTGCAAATTATTATCTAAATGGGAAGATGGATAGTCTGGAGAAGCCCACACCCTGGATGCTTTTGGGGTATGCCCAACGTGCATGCCGCTGGAAATATCTACGATGGCCCATTATCTTTGTGGCCAGTGTCCTGCTTTTCTTTGGACTGATCACCTACTGTCTTTGGCTGCACGATGTGAGCGTGGCTAGAGCCAAGTTCCTGCAGCGTCGTTATGAGGCAACTCTGACATCCACGAGTTCCAACAGCCATGAGTTGTGGGATGAGGAAACCACTGGCAGCACGGAGCGAACGCCACAGGAGACAACACGACTCAAGGCAGTGGATGAGGAGCGAACCACTGAATTCCCAGAGTTAACATTCGATGAGGATGAGCAGGGTTTTCCAGAGGAGGGTGATGGTGACTATGATGACACCTTGTTGCCAGCGGATAGCATACGATTCACCTCTGGCCACCAGAATAGCTTTGGGGTGCCCATCGAACAGGATAAGAGAATGTTGCAGTTGCTCAAAGATGTAAGATTTTTAGGGAGGTTTTTGAAACTAAGTTCAAACAATTAATACCTCCTTTTCAGTTACTGCCTAAGCCTCAGGCTACCCCTGCTGGTAATGAGCAGCCTTTGACCCGGGTATCACCTACGCTTCCACCTCCCTCTTCGGCCAGTGGACGTCCCACTCAGGCAATGACCTTCACCACCACACCCTCCAGCACGGACAGTGGCTGCCAGTCGACCATGTTGCCCATGTGCCAGGGTGTCCTGGACTATGATTTGACCTACAATCGTGAGGGAGCCACACCGCGGGATTCGGCCACTCTGGTAATCTACGAGAACCTCATCCGTTCCAATTGCTCGGCCAGAACGGCGGAGTTTGTGTGCGCCGCCCTGGAGCCAGAGTGTCGACCTTCGCACATAGGACAGCTGCCACCATGCCGAAGGATTTGCAAGGGTGAGTAGTTAAACAATAGAAATACATTTTATAAATAATTTTATAGCATAAATATTTCAGTTATTAATATATGTAATTGAAATATTTTTTATATTATACTTTCTCTTCATTTTCCTAGCAATTTTTGAAGCCTGTTCTGTGGCTATTGCCAACTCTGATGTCCTAAGTGAACTCTTTGACTGCAGCCTGTATCCCGATGCCCATGAGAGTCACAAGTGTGAGGATCCTACCAGGAGAAGGGATCATTGCTATGGCAATGAATTCCAATGCCATGATGGCAGCTGCATTCCCCAAAACTGGCAGTGTGATAAGATTAAGGATTGCTTGGGTGGCGAGGATGAAGATGAGCAGTGTTTGGTTTGCGATGAGGAAGAGTTCCGCTGTCGTTCGAATGAGAAATGTATTCCCGAGAACCTGCGTTGTGATCTTAATTTGGATTGCTTCGATGGCAGTGATGAGGAGGATTGCGATGATTATGGTTCTGGGGATGCGGCGCCCTTTGATGAGGCTGAACTTAATGCCTTTCCGAGAGTGTTTTCCTATGCCAGTTTCCTATCACCGAATCAGACAAATGATAAGCTATATACCTATATCACAGCCACCACCGATGAGGATGCAGGAACAGAAACCAAGTTTCAGATACATCAGGTGGCAGCACCAGCTCCTCCGGTAAATGCCAGTGCTGAAGAATCTTCTGGGGGACCCAAGGGGTTTGGTAAGTGAATATCCTTAGGAAATCCTAGTTTTAAGTTGTTAAATCCTTATTTTTTATAATTTTTTCCAGTCAACTTTCGCGACAGCAAAGAGATCATGATGACCAGTGATTCAGAGACCAAATTCAAATATTCTCAGAGATCGAATCGCACTTCGGTCAAGTTTAGTGTGACCACAGTCACCACTCCTCCTGGACGAACGGCCAGTGCCATTCCTGGCTCTGCATTGGCATACCAACGGGAGAGGGAGAGAGTTACTAGCACCACCAGTACCACCACCAGTACCACCACCAGTACCACCACCAGTACCACCACCAGTACCACCACAAGTACAACCACACCTGAGCCACCCACAACAGAGGCCAGTCCAATAGAAGTGGTCACAGCTCCAGGTGGATGTTTGCCCCACGAACTCAGGTGTTTGAGTGGCAAGTGCATTACAGTCAGTCAATTGTGTGATAAGGTGAGATTAACTTTGAATTTTTACAGATTTATTAAGGTTTATATTTAGGATAATATATAGCAATTAAGTTGGTCAAGTATTAAAAGAAAGAATTGCAATTTAAGGGAAATATGAGGTTTGAATATTGACATGTACTATTTACTTTGCTTGAACATTAGCCTAAGAAGTTTTTAATATATTATCAAAACCTTTAAGGAACCTACAATCATAAATTACTTTCCTTTCTGAGTTTAATAACAATTTATATATACTTATTTTCATTTATCAATATTTTTTCTATTCCTTTGACCAACTTAAAGTTCTCTGTTTAAAATTCCTATACTTTTCGTTAGCATATTGATTGTCCCGATGCGGCTGATGAGCTTATGTGTGTTTATCGAGAGCGTCCGATTGCCAGGCAAACCACAACAACCACAACAACCACTACACCACCAACACCAACACCCTCAACAACAACAACAACAACAACAACAACTCCTAGTAATCCGGTGACCAGTGCAAGGCGTCCCCTGAGAACCACGCCCAGTCGCAGTCGAAAGCCCAAGTCTTAGAGTGATGTATCTTGTATCTTATGTTTATTTATATCTTTATCTTATTTCTCAGCACTTGTATTTCTATTTTCCTTGGCTAGATACATGTATGATATATACATATATGTACATGTAAATGTATGTTAGTGGCTAAGTCGTTTAGTTGTTTAAAGTTGTTTGACTATTTTTATGTGCGTGTAAATTGTATTTTTAGCAATGAATAAAGTTTAAGATGTGAGTAGGTTATAAAACAAACAAACAAAAAAAAATATTTCAAGTGAACTTGTGGTAAGTGTTGTAATCTTTAGCTATCAATCTCTTCTAACCTTGTCAGTGGAAAAATACCTTTTCTCTGTGTACTTTCAAAAAAACCATATAAACCACCGTTTGGAACAATGCCGCAAATGAAATTCAAATGAAATCGATACAATTAAAGTCCGGGACATTATTCCCTATTATAGCAACCTTGATCTGAGTTGGTCAGCCGACAGCCCACGCATTCAAAAGACCCGACCCGAGACCATTTCTGGCTTAGGCAATTCAATTAACCGGTCCATTGTTATTGAGTTCACTGCAGCGATTGCTACTTCGGGGTGTGCGTTATCACAAAGGTTCAGCTGAATGCAAGGCATAGCCAAAGATGAAAGGAAACTGAATTCAAGAAGTCGACGCATATAATACCCTTGCATAGTGCAATGGATTAATTAAATCGAAAGTAAAGGGCTCATAAAATCGATTTAATTAAATTTGGAAAGCATTTCTGTGCTGCGTTTTATTAAATTAATATTTATGCCTATCAAAATCTAATATAAATAAAGAAATGAATGCTGTTTTAATGTTTTTAATGTGCTGATTTGTATTTGAATTATATCTCTGCATATTTAAATCTACTATAAATAATTAAAGGTATGCTACTTTAATGACTGAAGTACTTAACATTTGGAAAGAGTAGGAAAATTATTTAAACATACATTAGTAGATCAAGAATATATATTTAAAAGGCTTTCTCAATGCTTTGCAAACTTTTGACTAAAACTATTATACCATAAAATTGGTATCAAAAACATTTCTATCTCTATCTATATCCGGTACATTTTTCAATGAACTCACTTTGTTTTAATTCTCTGAATTAGAGAATTTTCAAATATAATTTACTAAATATCATAACTAATTTCAATTTATAGATTTATTACAAATCTTTGTTCCCATAAAATATTTAAAGAGAAGGACATTCCTTGAAATATTACATAAAATATAAACAGTTTAGCTTAAAAATAAACATATTAATGTCCTCTAAATCGTATAATTCCCTCTAGTTTATCCTATATTCCTAGCAGCCTGTTTAACAAACAATTCCTAAACTTTTATCTCCAGAATACTCCTCCCCAAAAAACTGCAGAAGAGGCCATCCCACTTGTCGAGGCGGAATTAAATGGCATTTGGCCCAAGGGGAGCCACCATTCTACTCCCCTCAGAAATCCGAGATGCAAGCTTTAATTTTCCAATCCAACTCCAAATCGCGTACATTCGCTGACAGGCCATTGGAAAATGGAAAATGCTCGCTTAGGGGCTGTGACAATGGCAGATTGTGCAAAACTCTCTCTGCAAGAATATCTGCACAACCACAAAAGTTAAATGCGCTTTGATTTCACCCCAGAAAACAAGGGAAAACAATCCCGAAAAGCGAATCCGCATCCTCTCGATTCGATTTTTTTTTCGGGGCACTTTTCTGATTGATTGCCATCAAAAATCCGCTTTTGGCATAACGGCAAATACGATTTGATTGCTGTCATTGTTCCCGTACCAAGCGGCTATTAATGTATGTTTCGGCACAATCCCTAATCCAGGCAATGGGCAATTGGGCAAAGGACGAAGGACGACGAGAAAAAACCACCCGAAATAGGGATAAAAAAATGATATTTGATTTCCTGTATTTTACTACTTATTTTTTTGTATGCCATTTGATACGTTTCATACACATTTGACAGCTGTCAGGCATCTACATTTTCACCTTAATTAAGTGATATTAATCGTCTTTCGCCAATCTGCAACTTTCATCGCTAAATGATTAGGAGAGGGGATAAAAAAGGTGCGAAGCCTGATATTCTGGGAAGCGTGCCGGAAGAACGCCCTGGAAAAACAGTTTAAACGGAAATTTAAAACCAGCAAAAACTCATTCTCTTTACAGGCATTAAAAGCTTTTTTCACCTTGACTTCCCATTAAGAGAGAGAGAGAATGGAAGCCAAAAACTCGTATGGACACGCATAATTTCCACGTTTAGTGCCCTTTTTCGGGGAGGCTGTGAACCCTTTGCTCTCCTTGAGTTGGGTCACTTGGGGCAATATTGTTAATGTACTCAATGGAAATGGCCTATTCAGTGTGGGCCCAGTTCAGGCAGCTTTTTGGCCTATGGACCATATGCAAAGCCATTAGAATGTTGTGTTATCTCTGCCCGGCAGGGCATATGGCCATCATATTAATTGAAAATTTTCCAATTGAATTTTGTGGCTCTTTGTGGGGGTTAATGGATAAGAGAGGTTTGTAAAGGGAAGTTAAAGTACTTAAAATGGTTAACATTTGGGTGGGCAAGGTAATAAGTTGAATAGAGTGGGAGTTCTTAAAGGTTAGGTACTTCTAAATCTTAAAATTAAAGAGGTAAGCTATTATATTATAGAAGAAACTGAACTTAGTTGAATCTCTTAGACCAATAAGTAACGTTTTTTGTTTGTCTTAAAACCTAAAAGAATTATGAAATCTTTGAAGCAATCTTTGCTTAAATCCTTTTTTATTAAACTCTATAATATCTCCTATATACTTTCTTACAATTTATTTTTGTTGTTCTCGAAAAGATCACAGTGGGAGCTTCCAGTTTACAAAGGTTTACAATATAATACAATACTAATATATTGCAATATCATATTTTCTGTTGCAATAAAACACCCCAAGTGCAGCGCTTTTGTGCACAGTTGCATTCCCTCGATACTTACCTACCCGTATCCTTAAAGATCCTGACAGAAGACTGACCTAAGGAGCACTCATCGCCACTTGGAATATCCCGTGGTGAACCGTCGTTCTTCCTGAGCACCCATAATAATTACTGTGCCGCGTTACGCTTGATCGTTTTCAAATTGCAAGCGGCGCACACTTCCGCCCCTGGAAAAAAAGGTGAACTTTATCGGCACTTCAAGGAGCAGTTCAAGAAGTTGACATAATAGTGCCAGCACCAAGAATATATCCTCTATCAGACTGGCACGACCCCTTAACCCTTGGCTGCCTTATAGCACCCATCTGCCCATTATTATTGTTATTATTATTATGCTTAAAGTCTCCCCTTCAGACAGTTGCTATAGTTTCACAGGAAATGGGTGTGTGTAAGTGTGTGTCGCCCAGATTCCTGTGCAATCTATTGCCCAAGGTACAGTTTAGCTCGAGCCATTAGAGCAAGAGCACAAATCTTGGAAAATCATTAAGCGCATTTTCCAATTGATTTCACTCCTTGGCCTGACCGCAGGCACGAAGGCAAAACTTGACCAAAATCAATAAGCAGCCAAAAGGCAACCGCATAAACACAGAGACAGACTAAAGACAGGTTTTTGGTAGGGGAAGGCAAGAGAAGGGAGATGTCGCCCAAGGGAAGGGCCTCTTGTGAATTTGTCACTGCGGCCTGGGTGTCTGACCATTCATCCATGGATCGGACCAGACAGTATACCTATTAGATGGAGAGGAAAACGAAGTATGCTCGGAAAATGGTAAAGGTTTTTCAGGGGAAAAATTTGTGCATTTGTATAACATATATAATATAATATATAGTGAGTGTTTCACTTAGAAAAGTATGGAAAAATATATATTTAAACCTGAAATAAGTGTAAAGTTTGATCTTATTAAAATAATTTGATGAAATATATAATATACTGTTATATCGATGTAATAAAAACCATTTTAAAAGTCCCATTAGATCGTAATATATCAAAGTTTACCTCGACTTTATTATTTCAATAACAAGAAATTGAGAATCAAATTAGGTCATATATACCTTAGTCTTGCTTGAGTTCAAATCATTTTAATTGAGTAAATTTCTTAGTTTAAATCCCAAACACACTTTTTATACATCAAATTTTCAAAATAAGTTTTACAAAATTTAATGGTAATCCCATAGTCGTTACCCTACCCTTGGCTTTCACCTAAATCAAACCGAAATGCCGAAATTGTGTCGCATTGTTGCAGTATTGATGATGGTGGGACCCACCTCAGGACCCTTCCCTTCTCCCAGACTCCTCTGTTCGTATCAATGCCCATCGGTTGGCGAAAAAGGAAAATCGCAAACAAAAACCGAAAAACCAAAAGTGAAAATTGCTTTTTGGGCAGCATCTTTTTACGCCTGATTGCAGCTGAAAGTGTCATCGGCCCCGTACCTCAATGGTTTTTGTAGGGTTTTGTAGGTTTTTGGGTTTGCCTTTCGGCTTTCCTCTCGCTGGACTTTGGTCCCTGACAATATATTTTTTTTTCTGTGCCTGAGGAGGGCCCTCTCACCCCTTGGTGGACATATGCAAACACACATTGTGAATGATTTACGAGCTGTGCGGACACATACAGGACGCTTAAAGGATAACAACGAGTCTAACAGCAGGAGAAGAAGACCCATTTGCCTCGAAATCATTTGCATAAATGCTCATTAAATCATTTTGGTTGCTCGGCCAATATAGTTTTTCTGACTTCTCCGACTATGTCCAGTTTTTGTTAGCATAAATTTACAAAGACCAGGCGACACCTTTCCGATTTTATTTGTAGACTCGGGCCCCCCGTTAATTACCTCACCTGGAGTCCATGTGGACTTGTGTGTGCATTTGCATTCGCCTCGCAAACGAATGTCAAGTTCAAAATGATTTACAGACTTTTCTTTTTTTTTTTTGTTTCACGGGGTAATTAATTGGCCAAGAGATTGTTGGACTGGATGGACTATGGGCATTAGCTGGCGATAGTTGAACAAAGTGGCCATCCTGGGGGAAATGTTTGAGAGGGAAAAAGTGTCTGGGGTGAATGATTCGCAGCTTGTTTTTGGCGTGTGCCTAATGAGTGTTCACTGTGTGGCATCGTTCGGTTGGAAAAAGTAATGGAATTAGCCGGAATAACGATGGATGTCAAAATACCAAAGCGAATTATATGAAATTTAATGATGATTTGGGGATTATTGCATGATTAATGGGGAA